AAAAAWTKGRWTTYAAGATGSYGAMTGCTCGCAGCGATAAACAAGTCATTTTTTGCAATAAAAGAATTACAAAAATAAAGGTGAAATGTTTCATTGTCAAAGAAATGTTTGAAAGTAAAGCAGTCTTTTGTAAAAGTCAAAGTGCAACAAAGAACAATATAGTGTTGTTACAATGTATTTCACGGGTTATAAAAACCAGTTTAGATTGATGTCATTAAACCCGTGAAACCAAATTCGATCATCAAAGTGTGATAGACACAAAACGGACAACATTGCAATCAGAGCGTACTAAGGTGTATTAGTGTAATATTTAGTTCACGTTTTTATTTTACTTCATTCGACAGAMAAAAATTGTTAAACGGTGTGTTTTATCAACTACAATATTATTTCTACATCTGYGACACTATTTAATCCCAAATCACAGCTTGACAAACACTAATAATACAYCGACGTGTTGATCGAACAATCGAAAAAGAGAAATGACAAATAAAAAGTCATGCATTAACTACACTGGTAGAACTCGCGCACTCAATCCGTGAAACTTAGACATTACAAAATAGCACTGAATTATGGTAATTCCTTTGATTTTTTTAAATGTTAAATCAATACTATTTAGTAGTAATTAGTAATATATGTTTCACACATTGAGTGCATCTACTGTACAATATAAATATACCTAGTGATAATTTCATTTTAAAACCTTTAACTTGATCGAAAAAAGTACAGTAAAAACACCAAAAGTTTGACACACTTTGCATTATTTGATAGGGAATCATAAGATTTCGTGTTAAATGCGGAAATACATTTTATTGTGATTTTTTTAAATAAAATTTGATCTATTTTTAGAAAAACTCACGGGCATTTTTTTCCAAATTTAACGCAGGGAAAATCGTCTGATTGCTTGTTAATAATATACAAGGAAAAATTGTTAGCCAACTCCCGCCATTTTTGTGGCTCACAACGCGCGCGTCTTCTTTWCCGCGACGTTTACAAGAAAGACAAACTGATTTAATTCTTTTAGGAGAAAAAATAATGAAATCAACAATCAAGTCCTCGTTTCATATTTCAAACAATTAAAGATAGCCAAGTACTCTTCAAAAAGTCATATTTGATTAGAATTTGTTTAAAATGAAGATGTAAAAGCGACATAAACGGAAAAATCAGAAAAGCAAAGCTTACAATTTCACAAACAATACTTTGTAACACACGTGATGATGTACACGTAACGCGAACGACTAAAATAAGCGTAATAACAAGTTCAGTTAGTGTACTGTTTAAGCATTAATATGCACTACTGCGCACTTTCATTTCTGATTTCTTTAAGCCTRTTAAACCATYAWAATRCTGCCAAACAAYTCCTTGACCAGACTYCWTGTTTCCAAGGTACTTTCCATTCAGATTAGATGCATGACAACTCTTATACCACCAGGCACCGGTCCAGACGTTAGAACAGTTATTACCGCTCTCATCTCTATCTTTTGTACTAAACACCATGTTGTTATGATATGCTAACGAGTCCCCAGCAGTACTACTGCCTGAATGCGAGCCAACCCTCAGCCTGTACTTGTCTGATTCATCACCAACACTAAAACTACCATATTTGGCATACTTCCTAGTTCCATACCAGTTCTCTATTTCAACGCGCAGACTCGACGCTGCTTTTGCTGTCAGTCGATGGATGTAATCGTTACCCAACCAAAACTCGCCATTCAGGTTTCCAAAACCTGTTTTGTACTGCTGCCAATTGCGATAGAAATCAACCGATCCATCTTGTCTTCGTTGGAACACAGTCCAACCCCCACCGTCGGTTGTCATGTCACAGTAGACTCGAAATGCAGGCTGCTTGTTTGGTTGAATTGTGTAGACATCGTTACGTCTCTCTCCTGATTTGTAAAGCTCATCGCAATCGTTTGCATGTGGTACAGTTAATGTCGAACGCACATGTGAATGAGAAACTCCAGCACTCGTAGCAGTGCACACAAACACACCCGAATCTGCTTTCTTGACGTTCCTTATAATCAAAGAGCCATCTCTCACTTCATATCTACCAACAGGAAGAACGCCGTTGTCTTTTCTCCAACTGATGACAGGCTGAGGGTCACCTATAGCGGTACAGTTCAACACAACGATTTTCTTTCCCAAAACTGGAAACGTCTTTGGAGGCTTGACAACAAATACAGGCAGATCGATAACATTTACCAAAATTGATCCCAAAGCGGATCCAAAACGATTTTCAGCTTTGCAAACATATATTCCTGAATCATCTTTTTTAGCTTTTAGTACAGTAAGCTGTCCATCTCTAACAACGGAACGATTATCAGGCAAAGAACCGATAGACTTAGACCACGTGACTTTTGGTTCAGGGAATCCAGTCACGTAACAAGTGGGTAGACTTATGTTATCACCAATCTTTTCGTAGATTGGTCCTTTGACTAAGGACACTCGAGGACTAAAGTTCACTTCGATTTCTGATTTGTCTTCTGCACTGCCAAGAATATTGGAAGCTTT